CCCGATTCGTATTCGTGGCCCCCGATCCATTCTTGTGACAGCAAATCGTTACTTTAATAAGACTTTAATATGACGAGATGATCTCAAAAATCAACCAATCATAATAAAGCCCGCTATGCTTTCTACCTCTCCTGAAGTATTAAACAACAAAACATATAGTTTTTTGAGCCTCCTGGTTTTTTATCGTTCATAAAAACGTAGTAAAATAATAATTTGTTGCGAATGTAATGATCCATGACAATGTTACTTGTGCGGTCTTTTTGAAAACTCAATTGACTGTAAAATTTTCAAGACAGGTATATAAAAAAGGTGGGTTGTTGTAAAAAGTTTGTTGATTTAAATGACACATTCATTTCAGTCTCTTTTATTAATAAAAATGTCATATTTATGTAATAAGGTTTTTCAATTTGTGCATATTCATCTCAATGATAAACACGCTTGACTAATTTAACCTATTTTTCGCTAAATAAATTTTATTTCCTGACTCTTTTTGCCCTATTTATTAAGGCGCTTGAGAACACCCTTTATCAGTGTTAAGTTGCATGCCATAAACATAGTACGAAGTTTATGGTTTACAGGCAAATGGTGTATACTTTTACTTAATGTATCTATCTATATATATTGTTTCCAATAAATAATAATGTCCAATTAAATTATTTGGACAAATTGGACATTGTCCAAATGTCCAAATTGTCCAAATGTCTAATATTATAATGTGCCATCTCTGCTTGTAAGAGACTTCCAAACCTTGTTGCCGAATTTTAGCTCTAGACCTCAATATAGAAGGAATTATTCCTATTTAATATAAGGCTTGTGGGAATATGAGAACTTTTAAATGATCTTTTAAGGTTGCATGCACTCTTATCTATTACTGTTTTCAAATCCTATCCATAAATTCTGTATATTACTGTCGTGCTGAAGTTGATACTTGCCTGAAGTTGCAACTCCAGGCGTCTGAAGTTGCACTTGACTGAAATTAACCCCTAAATTAGATCATCTTGCATGCATTAACTAGTAATTTTAGGTAATTTTAGGCAAGTGTAACTTCAGGCATCTGAAGTTGCAACTTCAGGCAAGTATCAACTTCAGGCACGACATTACCATAGTTTTAAAGGATCTGTATTGTTTTACCAACAATCACTTCATAGACATCACATTTCACAGACAATTATTCATTGACAAGTTCATTTTATCGACATTCTATTTCACTGACAAGATTTTTTTTAGAAACTACACTAACTTTAATTCTAGTTCTAATCTACTCTAAAAATATTAACCAGAATTACTTTGTCTATAAAATGAGCTTCAGTAAAATAAACTGTTAGTGAAATGAACTTGTCGGTAAGTAATTGATAGTGAAATCCTGTTTTAACAATGGTAATACTTGTGATTAAGGAATTACCAAGTATGGGTTGTGTATTTTATTTTATTTTATTATATACAGACGTACATATTCTTAAAAAAATCAAAAAATAAAGTTTCTCCTGGTAAAGCCCACCTCTTTTTATTCCACAAATTTGAATCTTAGTTCCTAACTATCATTTATATGAAACTTGGTGTTTATCAGTTTTGGAAGTTTTGGAAGTTTCACCCAGTTTTGCCCTGTTTCAGAGGTTTTGGAAGTTTCACCCAGTTTTGGCAGTTTCGCCCAGTTTTGGAGGTTTCAGAGGTTTCGGCTTTGAGGCCTTTGGTGAAACTAGATTTTGGAGGTTTTGCCAGTTTCGCCCAGCCGAAACTTTTGGTTTAGGCCAAAACACTGGTATTGATACAGAATTGTCTACCACAGCTTGAACTATGGCTAATAATGTCTGACAAATAACGAAATAGTTTCGTCTAGATGAATGACAAAACTATTTCATCAGGTAACTTCAAATTGACAAATGACAAAACTCATGACAAATGACGAAACTCATGACAAATGACGAAATTCATGACGAATAATGAATGACGAATGACAAAACACATAACGAATCATGAATTTTATATGTAATATAGCATTAAGTATAGTAAATATATAAGGAAAAAATGAAAATGTGATTTTCTTTTAGAAATCATGTGAAATTTTGATGTTCTACCCGGTTTCTATTTTTACCTGACATTTCCCGATGATTTGCATTAATCATCTGGATGTTTCCAGTAGTTTACGATAGAAATTATGGTAGCTAAAAATTAATTCTGTATGGTCTTAACTTTTGTGGTGTTAACATTTGTGACGATTGATGCTGATGTCGATGTTTACTAGTAATAGGGAAATGTGCATTTTATAATAACATGCGCATGATATCGCATGATATAATTTTTTGGAATTTATATTTTCCCTTCGGAAAATATCGGATACATGCTCAAATTTTTATCCCGATCTTGCTCTTCTTTTATGTTTATACATTTTCTTTTCGGAATTTTCGAGACTTTTGCATCAGTATCCTTAATTCCGCCCGACAATACGCTCCCTGTCCAGCATTATGCCAATTTTGGCCAGCATTATGATGATGGCTTACATTACGTGTCAAAATAGGCACTATATTTTCATATGATATAATGATGAAATAACAGCAATTTTGAAAATTTTAAGATTCAGAGTATCCGGAGGTCGTTATAAAAAAGTTCATCAAAAGAAGGACGGCTTACTTTTATATTTTATTGGCCAAATTAATTTCGTCAGGAGTTTCGTCAATCGTCAATCGTCAATCGTCAGTAGTTTCGTCAATCGTCAGAAGTTTCGTAAATCGTCAGTGGTTTCGTCAATCGTCAAGGTTTCGTCTGACGAAACCATTGACGAAACCATTTCGTCAGGCATCATTAACCATGGCTCAAGTCATGCTCTAGCCATGACACAAGTTGTGGCTTTAAAAATCAAGAAACTATGACTTTAAAAAAGCTGATTCAGTTGCAGAAAACCGTCTTCGGAAGATAGTAGACAAATCCATATTTGGTTAGTTAATGGTTACAGTAGCTATAAAGTTTACCCGGGTATACCCGTCGATCACCCGGGTAACCCTCGGTTATATCTGTCGGGTAACCCGGGTAGCATTTTTTTGATCGGGTACAATGTCTGTAGACCAAGCCTTTTATTACTACGAATTTTCATGATTTTCTCTCGAGATACATAGATGAGATGGAATGTAATTTTTTTGTAAAACTATAAAAAGCAAAAAAATTAAGTTAATTAATTATCGAATCCAGGTTTTCTAAGACGTAACTCGAATAAGGCCCTTCTTTTACCTTGGAAACCTTATTGAATAAAACCTTCTTGTGTGTCCTTATTTTTGCCTTTTGCATTAATTGCCTTCGCCAAATCGAACACCTTAGAGACCTTATTTTCCTGCCGTTAATACTGGTTTAGTGTTGTCAAATGACTAAAAAAATTGTTTTTATAAACTTTAAATGACCCAACGCATAAAAATTTATAACTTTGAATGATGTGACAAACATCATTTGAAATGAACATGCAAATTTAACACTAACGTTAATACCAGTCGATCAAAGATTTTTTGAACAACCGGTTATGACGATAACCCTAGTGTATTAAGATATTTGTAGTAATAGTATCATTAACAATGATTAGTGATAACATAATTATTGTATGACTAGTAATAGTACGAACACAATTTCATTCAATCTACAGTAATTATATAGTCATAAAAATTACGGATTAAGCATGAATAACTCAGATAATATAGTTTATGAAATATTTCAATAGAAGATCGTCATTATTTTAGGCCACACAAAGTTAATTTCATTACATAATTTTCAAAATTCCGGTCGGTCTGTCAAATTTTTTTTTTTTTTGCAATTTATTATTATATGCGTAAAATGTACAGTACAATGTATATACATTTATTTATCAAATAATCTAATAAAAAGAAATTATTACAGCCTCTTTAACATTAGCTTAAACATTTCAATTTCCTTAGATATATCAATATCTGTTGGTTCACCATTAGCAAGCATAACATCAATCCGTCCCTCATCATCACCAATCGTATAGTTTGACGTATCTGCGGTATAATTAAGTGAAACATAATGATTACTTATATTATTTATATTGGTTTGATTAGTTTGAATATTACTATTTATCAAGGAATCAGGTGAAATTGATAAGTTTAAACGATGAGATAATAAATCTAATGAAGAATATTGAGAAGAATTTTTCAAATGAACTGGTTCAGGAAGAACTATATGAATATCTTGATCATTTTGATTGTCGTTAGTTATAACTTGATTTGAATTGTCTTTTCCAAATTGAACGGAAGAAGTAGAATTTATTCGTGATAAAAGGTTAAGCGATGCAAATTGAGATGAAGTATTTGGAGCGGAGAAAAGCTTAATCAATAGCATGTATCTTAACCATTCTAAAAAAGAAGGTTGTGAAACCAAATTATTATTATTATCATCAATATTAATATTATTATTATTATCATTATAAACATTATTAATAATAATATCGTCATTAATAATATCATCAGGGATAATATCGCTGTCAATGGTATCAGTCTGTTTAGAGTTTAGAACGTTCAAGTCAACAAAAACTTTAGATTTTTCTAGCATGTTGAATTCATTGGTAATGGCTTTGTTGTAGGATCGATAAGGGTAGTGAGACTCATAATAGTTAACATGGGTGATCCACCAATGTAGTTTAGCAGCCTGGAAAGCACGAGTAACTGCAATATCTTGATAAAATACTAAAGCATACATTAATCCTAAGATGAAAGATTAAATAAACAAAACTTTCATAACAAAATAACCAAAGAATAACCAAATAAAAAAACATATAACATATATATACCTTGAAGTGATATTCCAATGTAGTTAAATAATAATAGAAGATGAGGAACTGTATGATTTACATAAGCATATGTTTCAATAAAAGAGGAAAAAAATTGAGCTATTAATGGCACTACAGGGTACCACACAATCCTTCTGACAACGAAAGAAATCACAGTCTTATTAATTAAGGTGGGATAACCAGCTATCTGAGAACCAATAATATCATCAACTTCTTTTTTTGCAGATTTGAGTTTTCTAATGACCATAATTACAACAATCACACAATACAAGATAGACGCATATATCCAACCAAAAAGGGTAACCCATTGCAATATAAAATCATTTTCTTGACCCGAATTATGATACCAGCAACCACTGTAATAAATAATAATAAAATATGAATATTTAAAATGAAATAAAATATAAATAAATATCAGATAAAATATGATTAATAAATATATATATATACATATATATATGTACCATATTTTTGCGAAATAACGCGCCAGGGTGTAATTTCAAATTTCGGCCTAAATTAAACTTAATTCTGGCCATTACTCTAAATAACGCCCCGGCCTGTTATTTCGCAAAAATACGGTATATCTAATGTATATGTTGTACGTGGGAATAGAATAATAATAGGTTCGGAATCCGCTTAGAATAGAACAGAATAAATATACCATAAAAATTCTGAATCAACTTAAATTCTGTCCTCACCTACGACAAAGGTTGGCAATGGAGCCAATGGAGTTAAATGGTTATGTAAATGGAGCTCAAAAAACTAGTATCCATTGGCTCCATTCAGCAGTGTTGGCACATGAACAGGTCATAACAGGTCATATCACTAAGTTCAATTAAGTAGGATCATATGACAATGGTCATATAACTTTACTAATTGAACTTAGTGATATGACCTGTTATGACCTGGTCATGTGCCAACACTGCCATTCAGAGCCCCATTGGCTCCATTCACAGCTCCATCGAGCTCCATTGCCAACCCTGCCTACGACATATATACGTACCCTTCAGGAGCAACATTGCTATACAAATTAGCGGCCATTGGAAGAAGAGAAAGTAAAAGTGCAAAAGAAAATGCAATTATAAAATAATATTTTTCAAAATCATAACGCTTTTTATATTCATTTATGAATACTATGTGAATATTCTAAAATTAAAAAAAAAGATAAATGAAAACATATCCATAAAGAACACGGTAAATATGATTATAATACATACCAAAGCTATACAGACGATAAAGAATAGAGAAGAAAGATTAAAGAATACAAATGCCCAAGCCTCATATGTAAAAAAATTCAAAGGATATCAAAAAAAAGAAACTATTGAATATCAAAAGAGATGCTATTTGATATTGAAAAAGAAAGTTAATGGATATCTTACCAAGTATCTACATAAACTGAGAATAGTACCCCCAAAAAAATAAACCAAAAGATGACCAGAGTAACATACATCACAGAATGAGGCCGCAAAAGCTAAACGAAATGAAACCCGATCTGCAAGATTAGGATAGTATTTTCGTATTAAACTAAATGTCACGCATGAGATGATAGAAGAAATGAGAGAAATTGTAATCAGAGGAACACATAAATAAAATATAATGGTTAATTGATCATTGTTTGTTGCCACCGTAATGTTAGAAGCCATTAATCACAATATTTAAATAGAGAAATAGATTTGAAAGATTCGACAAAGTATTTTTAAAAAGTATATAAATTTAATAAATCGCAAAATTTACAAAACTTTAGAAAAAATTTTTTAAGTATATTTATTATCCGGGTGAATTTTTAAAAAAATTATATAAAAAATTTTATATGTTTTTATATATAAAATAAAATTAAAAGCCGGATTGCCGGGTCACTTTTAAAAATTTTATGTTATAAAAATCGATTTATTAAGTTTGTATGGTCTTATCATTGAAAAATAATGAGTGTTATATGGAATACACTAATGCTGAACTTTAATTAACGAATAAAGTTTATATATGAGTGCTGCCAAGGGAAAAAGGCCATTCGGACTTTCATTTATATCTATCATGATGACAAAATTTCCATAGACAGTAACTGTACACAAATACAATTGAAAGTCCGAACGGCCTTTTCCCTTGGCAGCACTCATATATAGAACTCGATAATAGGGGTTTAAATAAGTGACGCATTTCAAAAATAAATAATTTTCAATAGCACTTTACTATGTTGAATTATAAATCGGAAAAATAAAATTATCTGATTTTAACTTTGAAACCCCCTGATATTGAGGTTTGTTTTTTCTGAATTTTGAACCAATCCCATGGTAGATATGCCCATTCAATAAAAAAAGCAGTCCCTTGATCAAATTTATCCACCGATACAACAATATTTGCATAGTCTTACATTATGTTTTTTTTATTGTAACTAAACTTCTATGACAAATTGTACTATTTCGCAATTCACTTGTTATTAGTGGTACCACAAAAAATTAGAATTTGCATCAGATTTCAATCAAAAATTTAAATACTGTGTTTTATAGTATTAGGTGAACCCTTATGTTTGGACATTATACTGTAGTTATTTTGATGCATACAACATCAACATTCATGTACATATATAGTAATTATGCTAACTAACTGTTTTGACTATCCTTGCCATATTTGATTATATTACTGTTTATGTAATCGTCTTGACTAAGAAAATTTCTTCATAAAAGTCCCAAAAAGGAAAAGGCCATACATAAACCGTTCATGCGCGTAATTTTTTTTTTTTATTTGATCATTAAAATTGAATTGTACAATTGGGGATTCAAAATAAACAAATAAGTAGGACTTTTTTTCAATATCATTTTTAATATGTTGAATCAGAAAGATAAAATAAGATTCTGATTTTAATTTTGAACCCCATTAATTGTGTGACGCCAAGGAAAAGGGAACATTTGTTTTTATTGATTATTTATCTGATGATCGGCAACACATCGGGCTTTCAATTATGATAAACTAACCTCTGAAATTGTCGTCTTTAGTGAAAGCCCGATGTGTTGTCGATCATCAGATAAATAATCAATAAAAACGAAGTTCCCTTTTCCCTTGGCGTCACTCATATAAAGTTGCTTATGAAACTGCTTATGAAATCGCTTATGAAGTTACTTATGACGGATAAAATAATTTGATTTTTTGTAATGATTTAAATTTAAAATTGTATAGTTATGAACATATCAATACACGTATCAATTTTAATAATCATAATCACAAAAAATTTTCGGGTTTACAAGACTTACATCATTAGATCCGTTTTTATAGGTTACAGAAATTGAAATTGGAGCAAAATATATACTGTATTTACAACAAAATTTGTGGAGTCGTTTTCTTCGTGAATTTATTCTCACATGAATATAAATGTTGTCATTTTTTGACTGAATAGATATTTCTTAAACTCATTTTAATATTTTATAAAATATAAGGCATCGTCAATCAAAACGTGACATAATGAGATTAAAATTGTTAATAAAATTAATTGTAACATGGGAGTAATTATCTATGTTAATTTCCGATATAACTTATTATATAAGCTGTTACAATTAACATGCTATAATTAATTTTACATAGCACTTTTTTTAATCTCATTATGACATGTTTTGATTAACGACGTTGTCGATATCCATACTATAAACTATTTGAATAACATTGATATCCAAACTAATGCAATTAAGATTTAATTATAAAATAGAATTTCATAAAAATGAATGGGATACTTAAGTTGAATAATTTGTATGAAAAAATTGATACTATTGATGTGGTGTTTAGTTCATAGGCAGACATTCGTATGATTGGCTGTTTAAATCAATTTAATTTTACATTATTTATACAGTTTAAAGTACT